TAAATGGTTTTGGAAAAACTGTATTTCAACCTGCCAAAGATTAAAACTAGACCCATATCTATCACCATGCACTAAACAAAGATCGAAGTTGATTAAAGATCTAAATATTAAGACAGAAACACTAAACTTGCTGGAAGATTAGTTAGGTAGAACTCTTGAAGACATTGGCATAGGAAAAGACTTTATGAACAAAACATCAGTAGCACAGGAAGTAGCACAAAGAATCAACAACTGGGATCTCATCTTATTAAAAAGCTTCTGCACTGCAAGAGAAACCAACAGCAGAACTAAGAGACAACCTAGAATGTGGGAAAAATATTTTAGCATCTGTATCTCAGACAAAGGACTACTATCTAGAATATCTAAAGAACTGAAAAAAATCAGACCCCCCCCAAATTTAAAGACCCAATTCAAAAATGGGCATCTGAAATGAACAGACATTTCTCAGACAAAGAAGGAAATAAACATATGAAAAACTGTTGAGCATCATTGGTCATTCCAGAGATGCAGATGAAAACAACACTGAGATTCCACCTCACCCCAGAAAGAATGGTTGCTGTCAAGAAATCAACCAATAACAAATACTGGCAGGGAGGTGGGGAGAAAGGAATCCTTCTCCATTGTAGGTGGCAGTTCAGACTGGTGCAACCACTGTGGAAATCAGTATGGAGATATCTCAAAGAACTAGGACTAGAGGTCTCCTTTGACCCAGCTATTCCCCTGCTGGGTATCTTCCCAAAAGAATTAAAGAATCATATCACAGTGATATATGGGCACCTATGTTTATAGTGGCACAGTTTTTAATAGCCAAAGTTTGGAAACAGCCCAAGTGCCCATCAACTGGAAACTGAATAAAGAAGATGTGTTTTTTTATAAAATGGAGTACTACTCAGCCATAAAGAACGAGAAACTAGAGACATTTATAACTAAATGGATGCATATTGAGGCCATACTCTAAATAAATAGGACACACATGTGTAAATACCAAATAGTTTCTCTGGTGTGAGAAAGTGAAAGTGTAAATAAGGATTAAAATGATTAAAACAAATAATTGATAATTTGAAATAGGAAGAAAAGGTCCAAAGGGGTAAGGGAAGTGGGAGGGGAAGGGGAAAGGAAAGAAGGGAAAGGAAAAATT